CACACACACACACACACACACACACACACACACACACACACACACACACACACACATATACATATACATATATACTTACATGTGTGTATAATATAATATAATGGGAAGTCTAACAAACTTACTAAATACAATACTGAATTCTTACTGAATATAATTACATAAATGACATCCGCCCAGTTAGCCCTCCCCCACACTTAATCTGAAATATATGCGTGTGTGAACAGCAAAATTATATAATTATGCGTTCTTCGATAACAACACGCAAAAATTTTGTGTTCCATCCATTATATAAAAAAAAAATTTATATATATAGTTATGTTAACTTTGTGCAACATTTTTTAATTTACTCGCTTGTTTCCACTTTCCTATCATCCTACTTTTCTTGCTGGTCACGTAACTAACTGGCTCCCAACAAAGACTGAACTGCCTCGAGCAATAAGCCGCTCGACTAAGTCAAAGGAATGTTCGAGCTCGTAGGTGAAGAGCGACTTGAGTTCGAGAAGCATGCACAAACTACTTTGAACGAAGTTCTTCTTTACAGTATTCGCCAACGCGATATTAACGATAACCAACGTAAATAAATTCTTTTGAAGTCTCAGTGAGCTCGCAATATTTATAACGTTTGCGAATAATTATTAAACGGGAATATCGGCGAGAAATATTGGCGTGATATGATAATCAGCGAAGAGAAAAGTCATATTTCATCGATATCGATTTATGAATGTTTACACAATAAATAACCGAATATCTCTTTATTTTTTGTGTGTAGATGAAATTGTAATTTAAAAGAAGACAGAGAAGCAGTTAAATTACGGTGAAAGCTAACTGATGTCTCGGCGGGATTGTCCATTAGTTAGTTAATACAAACTTTGCTCAGCAGCTTTACATACTGAGCTACTGCGCAAATAATTTTCATTGGATTGCACGCGTTCAGTTACTTTGTAACCAGCTCGGTTCAAGTGATATTACTCTATAGTTAATGGGTATCTAATCTACTTCACTTCGAAAATCCTGTGTTAAATAACACGGATTGCACAAGGTCAAAATCGAAAAAAAAATATTTGTTCTGCATTTAAACTAAAGTTATTGTTTGTTTCGTTATGCCTCAATTTCGGTATCCAATGTGTCTTATAACTGGTATTGAAATTTTATACGTGAAAAAATAAATCAAATATATTTCACATTTTTTCGCATGAGACTCCATTTTCGAGAAGATTGATCACAGATTGATCTAGAAAATGGAATAATTAACAATGCTTCTGCTATTTTAAACTTGGACAATATTGAATATCCTTTGTGATTCATAGTTAAATAAAATTATCAATAAAATACAAACTTTTATCAATAAAATTTTATCAATAAAATACAGCGTTCTTCCGTCGAAAAAATAATTCAAAATAGTATTATTTAGAAAAACATATTGTCGAAAAAATTATAAATATTTACATTTTTACAAATAAAGAATGTTTTATTCATATTCTGATAATCATTTTTGATGTTGGTTTAAGAACGTATCAAGTAAGTTACTGAAAAGGCTGCACGAGCTTAAAACAATGATGAATCATTTTTAATCTTTAATATTAATTAATATTAATTTTTCCGGAAGTAGAACTTCATGTCTGGAAAAAATCTTATTCTGCATTTTTTATTTGCTACTTTTTTCATATAAAATTGTAATCTTCCAAAGTTGTATTGCAGATGCGGTGCAGCTTGTACAATCGTAAAAACTTTGCCATGTATAAAATGCTCTAAACGGATGATTTAAAATTGCATACGCCTTATCTCCATCCACAGCCAGCGAACTATAAACGACACGTTTTCCGGCAGTATATCGTAGGCGTTAAAATGATTCAAGGTAGTCTTCCTGAGAGCAAAGAGCACGACACGCGAGGTCCGCACATGTCTCGCACGAAGAAAAACCTTATGACCATAGACATACAAGATAGATCCAACGTGTCACATATTTCTTTATGACATAAGTTGGGTTTGGTGAAGAACGGAGGAAAAGGTAAAACATTCGTGAATCTCTATTTTTTATAATATTACGCGCGCATCAATGACGTTAATGGCTGGTAAATGATATAACAACCTAACCGTAATTTTATATAAATTGTATCCCATATTTTCCTCGAAACATTAATTAAAAATCCATTTAGTTAAAAATCAATGTAATAGAACTAATCTGAAATTGAACTTTCATTCAAATGATAAAATAATTTATTTATGCATATGTGTTCTTAGGTGAGAATTTCTGTGTAGTTTCTGTCATTTGCCTGTCAATAGACGATTGCGCAGCCTATCTATGCAGATAAAGACAGAAAAATTCCCTTATATTTTACCTCTCTCTTTGCTCTGCCAAAAGGACATGTATGCTCAGCTTATCTTATATCTCCATGTCCATGGCCATATCGCGACATCGTCGCAGCTGATCGTGAACGATCTCGCACACAAAAGCACATCTAGCACTCTACAGATGGGGGCACTTTTAAGGGCGATAACTCGTTTCCGCCCGATACTCGATTCTGATAACCGCTCTTCTTGGCTTCTCCGAGTCGAGGAGGCTCTCTCACGCTGCACTCCCGCTATTTCGATCTCGTATTCGCGAACCGGAGAATTAATTAATCAACCGATAACGCCTCGGTAACGAATGATGCTCTCTTAGATCCGATAAGAGCGAGCTACCGGCCATGAGAAAAGGAGCGGTGGAGAGAGATTCTCTCCCACGACTACACTCGATATATCTCTTTAGGCGAGAATAACGTCGATTAACAACTCATTACTTTCCGTCGCTTTCGACGGAAGTACTTCAACTTTTACGAAGTTTATGCAGCGGGGAGCGAAGTAAATCACGTAATTTATTTGCCATTTATCATTTAATGAATGATTAAGATCTCCGAGAACATCGGCATGACGGAATGGACGCTGCAAAAACGGGAATTATTATTGCAACCGATCCGACTATGTTGTTACGCACTGAACTTCTCGCGTATTTTACATCGGTTTGTAACACGGACATGATGAATATTTATATTGGGTGAAGTGTTCAAAATATAAAATATAAAAAGTGTTCAAAATATAAACAAAAGCAAAGCTGATAATTGCATTTTTTTTTTGACAATTTATTACAATTAATCTACGGACAGGATATATATTGTAAAAGCTATTTGTTTAATGTAAGAAAAAACTATAAGGTAAAATTTTTTTAAGATCATAGTAATCATTTTTGTTTCCTAATTATAATTATCCTAATTATACAGTATTTATAGATGTCTATAGGAAAATGCTTATATACATATACAAGGTATTCCATTTTAACCTAGACACTGTAATATCTCGGAAACAATACATTAAAAAAAAATGTTTCAAATAAAAGTATTTGGAAAAGATCATCATGAGCTATTTAGATTTTTGGAGTCCAAATAAGGCTCAAGTTAATTTTGTTCAGTGAAAACATCTATTTTTTACTGCAAACTCATATTTTACAGAAAAAAATGAGGAAATTTTGTTCCTAATTATTTCGTGCTAAACTTTCTCTAATAAACTCAAAATTACGCTCAAAGTATTTTTTAACACATTCCGGCTAATTAAGACAAGATTCGATTAATAAAGGCAAAACCAGGGAACGATCCAGCCAATAAAGGCCACAAGCTCAATATTGATCTGTTGTTTTAAACGCAGAAAATTGTTCTGAGTTTGAATTTTCAATTAAAAGTGTGAATTTTTATTCAGATAAATCCACCTGGACTTTCCGTACTCCCATAACGAGCACGGAATCTAAATTTTGATTTATTATGTAAAAAACTAAAGACTGATTTTAAAATAATCCTGCAGTCAAACATGATAATTTTAAATAAAATAAGTCTATCAGGACTTGATTGGGCCAACACGAGCCCCGGATCCTAAATTTAAACAAATATTATTATTATTATTATTATTGTTATATATATAACAAAACGTTGAAATACAAAGCAGTCTGCATTAAACATGAAAATATAAACAATTAGTTCTTGTAAATAATGGCGTTTTTAAATTGTTTAAACAATACTATCATAAATAAGTTATTTTTTAACTATTTTGTTAAATAAAATTTTATATGTTTCCTTATAATGGTAACCGCATTAATTCAAAAGTGATATCTTTGCTGGTTTTTTATTTCAAGTTTTTAAAAGTTAATTACAATTTTATATTTTTGAAGAGTTGAAACGACGAAACTGTACATTTTCTGACATTTTACTTGAGGAAAGCAAATTTTGCTTTTGTTCAGTGACCCAAAAAGTACAATATATTTCAAATTCAGTCATTTTCGCCGAAGTGAGGATCATCAATTTTATACCAATTTTTATATCAATCTTCTTTAAGTAATAACTCTAAATTTAACGTGGTTATTTGCAAAATAATAATGGAATTTTATGCGCAGATTTTAAAACGTAACTAAACATATTACCAATCATAAAAGATACATCATGCAATCTAAAGATAATTATTAAAACGTTATGATAATGTGTGTGTGCGTTTTCAACAATCATACCACATTTTTGATGCATTAATGTTACTTGCAATTTTTTGAAGATATATTAAATGCAACAACTAAGTTTGTTTTTCCTTACTTTCTAAATATTCATATTACACACAAAACAGACTAGGTACATAATACTTTCGTATATAGAACGATTTGAATATTTTTCCTTCGATGCATTTCAAAACATAATCGATGGAGTCCAATGGGAAAATTTGTTTATGAATAATTTTCAGAACATAGGTTTTCTTATTGGATGTTGGTTGCTTTTCGAAATGTATTCAAACTGTTTTGCGAATGAGTGTACGTTATTACAAAGTAACAATTAAGTAGCAATAAACGTAAACGAGTTTCTCTCTTTCCCGTATATAACGTATGCATGCAATGAGAAGCGTTGATACACAGCTAGCACTTACTATGAGGAGGACACATCGATTTTCCGAGGTTACGCCGCCGCATCCGAGCCAGCTACCGATGACAGCCAGTACACCTGCGACGATCAGGGCGTAAGCCAAAGTGGGATACGTCGAGGTGGACATTAAGGACACGTAGCTGTGCTTTGACACTACTGTCCAGATACCGATTCCACCTACCACCAGTCCAGACAACTATAACACAAGTAAGAAATCCTCAATTTCGTGAAGGAAATCGCGGGAGGTACGCGGGAGGGAGGCTGGGTGCGATGTAGTCTTAGTAAGACTATTAATAGTAAAGAATAAAACGACTTGAAATCGTACCAATAAAATTTATACCATTCGAAACTGTTATAAAATGTAGTTTTAGTAAGATTATTAATAACGAATAAAACAACTTGAAATCATACATATCAAATTTGTACCATTCGAAATTATTATAAAATGTAAATATCAGTTTAAATTTATTGAAAATTTGTGAGAAAAATTAATTCAATATACAGCTCTCAACATATTAAAGAGTAATGTAGAAATATAATAGACAAGGATTTTAAAACGTATTGAATAATTGAAAATTATTGAAACATTTCACAGTAACTCGATATGCACGGAAAATAATGAGTAAAAACTAATAAAATTTTAGTTTGGAAAAAGGAATTCTACTCTTTCTTATAAAAATATTTCAGCAAGGTAGGTTAAAATAATTTTTCAGTGGTCAGAACTGATCGAGTCTGCCAATCGTTTGCATAAAGATTACGACTTTTTTTAGATAAGTTTATGCTATACATCTTGTATATACAAATTTGACAACTCTCTCAAATTTTAGACTTTAGTGTGTTCATAAATTTGGTCAAAAAAGTATCGCAGTTTTTATGTAAAACTTATTGTTTTTATTAAACAATTGTACTGTGATGGCATTCTTGGACATTAGCGAGCGATCGCGCTTAGCGCAACGAGAAACGCAACTCATTGTTTACGTTTCATTTAAATCGATTTAAATCGATTTTTAAAATGGAATAATATTGATAATTGATGGTATTTAATATAAAGCGAGGAGATGAGATCTTTCCCAGTGCGTCAACTCGAAGATTTCTGGCGTCGTCGTTACCGATAAAGAGGGTCGAATTAAATCTCCCAACGAGTCCCTGAGTTTCGCTCTTTAAAGCCCGGCCGGAAATGAATTCTTGTTCTTTAGAAGTTGGCGAATTGAGCCCGAATGGAAATCTCGTCGCAGGATTTCGAGAGGAAGGGGGAACGGGGGAGCACGAGGGGAAGAGAAAAGTCGAGACCGATTACGCGTCCGGCTGCTGTCATAGTTGCTGTCTCCGAAAATCTCGTCGTTCGGATAATCAATAACGCTGATCATCGGATGGACATAATAACGGGCGCGGCGGAACTTCCGATAGGATCAGTCCACAGTATACAGACAGTGCGTTTTATTCAATTTGATATCGTGCCCGCAGCAGTTCTACCGCGTAAAGTCTGCCTCAATGACTGGTTGGATATCGTCGCCGCCCACGACAGCTGGTAGGAAAGAGAGAAAGAAAGAAAGAGAGAAGGCAAGAGGGAAAAGAGGAAGAGAAAACGAATATCGGTCTGATAACTACACGTATCCACACGTGTGTATGTTATACAGGGTGTGTGATAATTGCGCCGCGGTTGGGAAATCTGCGTAGGTTCTCATGGTTGTGAAGCGAGAGACTTGTTGTTTTTTTAGCTGAATTAACATTACACTGGAACTTCATGTCTATTCCCTTGAACGCTAGGTTATACACTTGACTCACTCTAACAAGTAACATTATTTAAAATAGAACATCTTGTGTAAGTGATCTAAACAATATTGAGGTATTTTTAGCATAAATTATTATTTAGATTAGACACAAATCAGACACCAAAAAATGAACAAAAATCGACATGTATCATTTGGAAAAGATTACTTGTAAGGACAGAAAGTGCAAGTCAGTTCAATTGAAAAGAACAGAGTCCAACAGACTATTGTACGTAAATTTTACAACAATTTTAAATATATTAAATCACGAAATTCAGCAACAATGAGTCCCTTATTACTTGATTAGATTGTACTCATATTTATCACGTAGAATGACAAAATAGAAATACAGAGGAAATACGAAAAAAATGATGAAAATTTACCCCAAACAATATATCATGATAAATATAATATTAAAATCTACGTGTAACTTTTGGTAAATTCATTGCTGCATTAATATAACAAGAAATTTATATTACTACATAATAATGAATTCAACATAGTATATTTATTTCATAAATGTAATTAAAAAAATTGCATAATTTTTGTCATCGATTATCTCGCGTAGGGATGATTATGAAAATCTGGGGATCTAGTGACTGGAAGGTAGAATGCTACTACGATTATTAATATTCGACTTCATAAAGCCCAGGTCTTCAGACTCAGAACTTCTCGCTCCGAAAAGCCACAAGAGAAATGTCAGAAGGCAGTCAAATTCCTTCGAGATAATCTCGCACTCGCCTCAACGTCCATTCTTCATCCGGATATGCAGTGTCGTCCCTGCGACATTTACTCACTTTAAGACATATAGCGGGGGTGCCGTTGTCGTCGTCGAATGTCACGCGCCACGATTTATTCGCGTTTTTCTTTCATTTCCCGCGCTGGACCTCGTTTCTCTCGCGTGATATTTTTTTCCTTCCTCCCTTCCGCCTCCTCACTCATCGTGACACACAGACGCGGAGATCTCCCGCGGGAAAACGCTCGAAAGTATCCCGGGATATACGGGCCAGACCGACGTAAATATCGGCGAACGCACGCGACATTTACGGTATCGAGAGAATGTACGCTGTGTACATGAAGAGCCACAAGCAAGAACAATAATTGAATTACGTGTCATACGGACGACGCTCTCCGAAAACAGTCGCAAATATAGTGGTATGTGCGCGTCCTACGATTCTATAATTATCGCGATCGTGAGTGACGAGATAACCGAGAAAAATCTCGGTTATTCTGGCAGTGAAATGAGATCCGACACGATATTGAAATCTGTTTGGAGCTTCGTACACTAACTGCACGACTCCGAGTCGTGGTCGATCGTCTGCGCGAGTAGCTAAAAGGCAAATCAGACATTAAGCGAATCAGAAATCTCGTAACTTCTGGGCGAGAGTGCTGCCAACCCTTAACGTGTTGCTCTGTCGCGTTACTTTCCTTGACATTCCACGACGTTGAGAATAAATGTCAAGAATCCGCGGAGAATCTCTTCCACGTTTAAAGCATGCCAAGCTGTAACGTTCTCTCAATATCAAAACTGAAAACAAAATCTAAAAGATGGAGGAATCAGACTAATATAATAGGACATTGAAAAGAAGGTAAGGTTTCCTTCTTGCGTTTTTAGTTCACTCAGCAATGACATGATTCGATTTCTGGGAGATTAACTACAAATAATCGTACCCCACAACTTTTTTCAATAATTCCATTAGTTCCCCGTATCAAGATTTAAGCTTTAGGTTTTTTCTATGTCTAAATAATTCAAACTAATCAGAATAACAGATTTTTAGAAATTTTTTGGAATAGCTGCCTTTAAACAAAATGACGAGGAGGAACTGCAGCATTATTATAATAATAATCCGCCGCGTGGCGCATGCAGCGCCAAATTTTAAAAAATTCGCTCTAAATTTGTGACTTTTTAGGCATAGAATAACGAAAGTACTTTCGTAATTTATTGATACATTCGTATAATCCAGATGAACTTTCACCCTACGGCAGGCTCGGTTAATTAACTTATTTTTTTATATCCTTATATATTCAAAAGTTTTAAAAAAAGTCTAACATGTCTCACATGTGATATTTTCCTTTCATCACTGTGCTTATATAGTCAGTAGAAGAAAGATTGCAATATATTTTTACTTCGATAAATCTCAGAACATATCCAATATCCACTAGAAAAATTCTTATCGTCTAAGATTTATTGGAAAACAGCTTTTTCTATTGGATATCGGATGCATTCTGCTATTTATCAAGATAAAAGAGTCGCAACTTTTCTTCCATCGACTGTACATGCTCGCATTTATGACTCGCAATTTTTCAAACTTGTTCTAATTCATATGTTCTCGTAAGATTTCGGGCTTTTGAGCCTTGTCTGGTGGAATTTATACTTCCGAGATCACTTATAAAGATTTATTCGTGTTGCTCCTTCTTAGTATTTCTAAGAGTTAAAAAAAATCGAAAAAGAAAAGAAAATTTTTTTGGTTTTTTTCATCGGACTGGAAAAATACATTTTTTTACAGGAAAATTAGTTTTTTTGTATTAATTTAAATAACATCACATTTAGATAAGATTGCAGAAATTACTCTTATATATGACAAAATGGATCAATTTTGTGTTAGATATACTCTTATATTTGTTCCAATGCAAATATTAAATAATATAATTGATAATACTATTGGCAATATAACTGGCAGAGAATTTTCTTAAAACTGTAAATATAGTATTAAAAAAATCAAATATATGGACAGTTTTCTAGGTTTATAATTTTTTAGCGTATAAATACTATTTGCAAACAGATTATCAACAATATTATGCAAAATTATCTTTGTCATTTAAATTTCTATTAAAAATGTACAATGAAACATTTTCTAATTTTGGTTAATCTCAAAGGTAGAACACTTCACACTCTGTTCCTGAAATCATCCTTTAAGGATAAAATAACAAGTCCATAAACACATGCACACGCACGTACGCACAACGCACGCACACGCGCGCACGCGTACATACATATATCATGAATTTATGAAAATATTAATAGTTTTTCTAGATAATAAGAAAGAAAGACGAATAAAATTAAGCTGCGTCTTCTAATATGATATGTTATTCTAAATTTATCAAAATGCTCATATATTAAAGTAAGTCTTATAAATTAGTAATGATCGTCTGGATGTGTATTGTCTTTCATTTTAATTAGAAGGTGTAGCTTAATACATTATTTTGAAAAGCCACATATCTTTATCGAATTTTTTACTTTTTATGTTTCACTTATATTTTTTCACTTTCAATCAATATT